TTAATTGGGATAGGCAGTTTAATATACAATATTACTAAAATACCTAAAGTAGAAATAAAAATTACGAAGTTCGAATACTTCACATATGATAAAGCAGTTATGTTCATCAATTAAAATGGTTCATAGTGTTCTATATCTACATTCAACGACATTTGTAACAGGCTGTTTGCACACACAATTCACCAGAGGCTGTTTAAAACACATCATTTGTTATTTAACTGGTGCATGGCGACTACCAGTGGAATCCAGAGGTGGCTGTCGTGGCCCAAGTGGTCTAGTGGATAACACTTTGGTGTTTGAAACTATGGTCACTGGGTTCGAGCCTCGGTGGGAACATCATCACTCGCTCACTAGGGAATGCAGGTACAACAAGATGACGAGTCCCAAATAGGACGAAATGCGCATCCTGGATTCCACTGCTAGTCACCATCCACCAATTAAATTCCAATTACATGCCCAGACATCGTCGAAGTATCTGCACAAGAAGCCGACATGTCAACCTGAGACCGAGCACTTCGATCCAGTCAATCGCAAGGGAAAATCTAAAACATTCAATTACATAATATGGTACTTTCAGTAAATTATTAAATAATTCCTTCTGATCACAGACTTAGTCACCAAGTGACATCAGTTAGAGAACCACTGGAAAACCAAGGAGCACTGGACGGATGTCTCATCCTCGTTTGGGACTCTTCATCATTAGGCACCCATCAGGGCTCCGACCTAGAATCTTCTGATTACTATGTGTTTGACTGAGCACAGTTCCTGGAACAAGTCTTCCACGTTCAGGGATATGAACCAGACTTATTGTAGACGGACTGGTGATGCTGCTCAGTTCCCCATCTAGGCTGAAGTAGTCTGAGCAGGATTCGAATCCAGAAATCACTAGATGAACGTTGAGTCCTTAGACCCATAAGTCACGTCTCCATTACCGTAAGATAAATCTATGATGCTAAAAATCAGCATAGTTCAGCGAAGAACGGAAGGATTACACAGATCTGTTTTTCATCGAATCATTACAAAATACCTAAACCAAAAGTTGTTTTTGGTGTATTCTAAGCAGGTTTTCATTAACTTCTTTTATTTCGAAGTCAAGGAAGACGAAGTAATGAAGCGGTAGAAATGCAGTAGTGGAACGTCTGTGTAGGTAGGCATACGATACACACACACACTGGGCTCTACTTAGTGTTTTTTAAAATATTACGTCACAGAAATTCAGTTAAAAGTGTTGAAAAAAAGGCAAATAATACCAAAGTGCTTATGCTCACTTCAATGATTATTAAAACTGAAATCCACATTTGATCCAAAATAATAATTTTATAAGTTCTGGTCGGGATGAAACAGGATCTGTGAGTTTAATGAATTCAGATAACGTGAGAACTCGTTCAACGCAAACCAACTCATTCGTGTACCGATATGTCGAACCTACTTTGCAGTTGATATGTTATTCATAAACACAGGCAAAGATAAGATAAAGATACTCGCCACATCAGAATGCGTATATCACATTACAAGTATTTGTGGATGCGAGTATACTGGAGGCACGGAAAGTTGTCTTTTGGCTCTCATTGCTGAACACTGTTCCGAATGGCACCCACGATAGCATCCCAAGGTGCTCAATCATACGACGTTTATTGGACTGTGATTATATACGGTGAAGTTGAGCAAAAGCTTTGTAGTTATTTCAAGATTTCGTCATGAGCTCACATCAGTTAGAGAGGCATTGGAAAGTTTGAGAGTATTGGACAGCTGTTTCGCCTTATATTCTGGAGTCTTCATTAGTACTCACCCTCCAGGTTTATTTATAAGGAAGTTAACAAAAAGGCTATTGGTTTTCTCTGTAGCCTGTACAATCACATGAAAGAAGCTTGATCTATGTATACAAAAGGAGATAGCAGTTAGTTTAAATCTACCTTGGTAACATACTTTTATTTTGTCTTTATGATTTTCCTTCCCTCCCCTCCCCTCCCGTCCCTCTTCCCTTTACAATGTTTTATCCACTACCATTACTATTATTTATCCGACATATTGTTAGTTTTCCTAGAATATGTGAGAACTGAAAGTCAAAGTTGAGTATTATTCCTGGTGAAGTGAAGTGGTAGAGCACGTTGAGCGCTTCACTTACTTGGGAAGTACCGTCAGCCCCAACAGGTTCATCTCTGACCAAATCTCAGTACGGATACAGAGGGCTGAATTCTCATATACCAGTTTACGCCGTCTCTGGCTTAGTAGACGTGATATCCGACTATCAACCAAAAAGCGTGTGTACTGCTCAGCAGTCTGCCCCCTCCTCCTTTATGGTTGGCTGTGAGACCTGGCCATTGAGAGTGGAAGACATGAAAAGATTAGCTGTCTTTGGTCATAGGTGCCTGATTCCTATCTCCCGTGTGAAGTGGTATAATAAGGTGAGCAATATTGACGTTAGGCATCGGTCGAGTGCTAGGTAAGGAGGGAAAATCAGTCGACGTGGCTGTGAAATTACATCGAATGAGATGGTTAGGACATGTGTTACGTATGACTAGTCATCGCCTTCCTCGATGGGCAATGTTAGCTGACATAGGGTCAGGCTGGAAAAGAGCTAGCGGCGGTTAAACCAATACGTGGCTTTACCAGTCAATGAAATCTATAACATTTAGTCTAGGCCACATAGGGAGGTGTAGACTGCTGTCTGGTCGGGGTCCTCGGGACGGTAAAAACCAATGGTTGGAAACAATTGGTGATATGGCTCAAAATCGTCGTTGTCAATGGCTGGCGCAGATGGATCCACTCCTTGTGACTTATGATTTCCAGTGAAACTGTTTTGTTCTTCGTTATTACTATTCCTTTGTCTCATACCTCTGTTTACTGTCTCTAATATGCATTTCTCCTACTTTCTTCTCTTGCTTTGTGTGCTACAAGAAGGGAGTGTGGCGACTTGAACTGCCGCATATATATGCAAAGTTCTATGTCGAAAACAGTCAGGCATTACTCTTGGTGAGGAGGGTTCAAACTATCGTTTATGCGTTTAGATTATACGGGCTAAGATCCAGTTATTTGGTCCTATGTGATTTACATATATGTCAAATTTATTTATTTGTTTCTTTCGAAGTTTCCATGTCTTTCAATCTTATCCCATCTAGACGTTTATAATTGCATAAATTCGACTACAATAAATCCAGCTGATATGTTAATGTGTGCTCTGATGAATATTACTCACTTAATGACGAAGTTGACAGTTTATCACCCACAACTCATACATCATATATCTGTTCAGATCGATACATATTTATTTGTCACAATGTTCGTGTGATTCCCTTGCGTTTAAACCTCAAAACAGTGTATAAATCAAGTTGTTTGTAGAGTATTCATCTGTCAGAGGAGTCCTACTGACATTTATGAATCCATTAAACATTGTTGTTTTTTCCACAGTCTTTCCTTGTTTTCAATAAATTATCTGTCTAGTCAAAATAATTGATAGAAGGTATATTTATGATGACCAACAAATAATCTCTGCGTTACGTCATCAAAATATGACAAGAATTCAGTTAGCTTCTATCTGCATAGTTCCAACCAGTCGATGTGGTATAATACTGGACAAGATTTTTTGTTCGAAACGCCTGTAGTGTTTCACTGGATGACATATCCCATTAACAATATCGTGAACTAACAGTAGTTAGGATTGATGATCTGCTGGATTCTGTTGCAGGGGCTCAGTGATATACGAACTCTTCATGAAACCGGAAGGTTCTTGGTTCGATCCCTAGTGGGATTATGCTTTCCTGCAGCCGAAGAGTCCTAGAAAAAGATGGCACAGCTGTCAGTTAGTTCCCGTTCTTCATCGGTTCTCTATGTGAAGTCGTCTTGTGAATGGCCTTCAAACCAATCACATCCTTTCAAACCAGAAATCAAAAACCAAATTAGCATGAAATTCCAATGAATATTGAGATAAATATTTCAAAATGGAAACATTTAATCAGTCTGCCGTCTTACAGTCATTACAATAACTTGCTAATATATTGACATACTGATTGATGTTACATGTTTATAAAGTTTACTGGGTAGGTAAATCTGTACAAACTAATGTCTATATGCTCTTCAGTCTGTCTGTCCGTCTGTCTGGATTCAACATAGAACTTGGCACTGAAGTGCAGCACTTCGAGTTCCCACGTTCCAAATACCACACAAAGGTAGACAAGAAAATGAGAGTGAAGAGAATCGATAGAGTTTTGACAAGTATAAGAGTGAAACAGGATGAGTAATGGTAAAAAGGAATATGAAAGATTACAGAGACTGAATACATCTGCGTAAGCCATTGACAACGATTTTCAGCCATGTCACCTATTGTCTCCAGCCACCATTGATTCTTAGAGTCCCGAGGGCGGGCTCCAACCCGGAAGTCTGCATCTCCCTACCTGACTCAGTTTAACTGTCAAGGATTTCATGGATCGATGAGGCCATGTTTTTGTTTGGCCACCACTTACTCTTTTCCAACCTGCACTTATATCAGCTAGTAATGCCCGTCGGCGGGGGAGGCGATGGTTAGGCATGCACAGCACGTGACCTAGCCATCTCAATCTATGTAACCTTATACCTTCTTCGATTGATTTTCCCTCTTCGCCCAACACTCTACGCCTAACGTCAACATTACTTACCTTATTATACCACCTAACATGAGAAAGAGATCGTAGACATCTATGATCAAAAACAGACAACCTTTTCATGTCTTCAACTCGTATTGGCCATGTTTCAGCACTCACCTTTAAGATATCTGTGTATCATTCTGACATGAACTTGATTCACTCTACTGGAAAGTTAACCACAGTAGCACTAAACTACACTAAGAGGTTGTCAGGTGACAGTCAATGCGGGTATTCAGTCCTAAGCGTGTAGTCGTCACTGTCTATCTATCTATCCATCTGTGTAAAGTCACTTAGTTTAATGACCAAAATGTATCCTTGATCAAAAGACTGGTGTCAGTACAGCAAAACAATAAATCCTTATCTCATTTATTTCTATTACAGGTGTTCCATTATGCGACATATGGACAGTTATGGATGTTCTCTGTTGTACAGCGTCTATACTACATCTTGTAGCTATTGCAATTGATCGTTATTGGGCTATAACACGTGTTGACTACGTAAGAGGTCAAAATAAAAAGCCAATCTACATTATGATAATAATTGTCTGGATATTATCCTTAGCTATTTCCCTGCCGACACGTTTTCATACATCCCGAAATGATGACTTATACAATGATGTTCTGTACGCTGGTGAATGCAACATTAACAAGGAATACATTTTTACAATATTCTCAACAGTTGTTGCCTTCTATATGCCAATGGCATTTCTAATCGCTGTTTATGTGAAAATTTATCAAGCAGCTAGAGAAAGGATTAGAAAGAAACGCTTTCGATCACCGTCTTCAGTAACAGCGACGATGGGAACAGGAATAGGCAAAGGAACACTGTCAGCGGCGGCCTCATCAGTAGCTAAAACAACAACACTACCAATAACCACAAAATCAACACAATTAATTGCTTTAACAAAACGACTAAGTAATTTCAGTAGGCGCAAAATTCAAAAACCTAGTCATCATAATAATGATGGCCTTGACAAACAATATCAAAGAATGAATTCAAAATATTATTCGCTAACTAGGTGTACAACGTGTTCAACATGTGTAAATACTCATCTAGTAAGTTGTTCGTTAAAGATATCTGTTGATAACAGTCAATCACAGACAAGTAATGAATACCTGGAAGTTGGATCAATTTTCTCTGAAAATGAAACATCATCACCATATTTTAGTGAATGTACAAATGAATTTTCTGATAAATTCAACTGTTATCATAATACACATCAGCAAAATGGTATTAAATCTTTAAATATGCATCATGGTGTGATTAAAGCAAATAGTGTGGCAGATAAACAAAATCATGTTGTTCAATGTTCCAATACACTGTTGAAACAATTCACTACAGACAACCATATAAATTGTGTACAAGAAAATAATAATTATTGTGATTATGCAAATTTATCACGAAATAATTCCACATCAGTTAAACATAATTTAGAAACGATGAATAAAGGAAAGGAAATACACGAGAGAAATGTTTCCTGTACAAAGATATCAACTAGGAGAGAAGTTCAACTAACTCCCAGTACATCGACATCTGCATCATCAAGTCAGACTAATGTGAATAATAATATCGCTGAAACCGAATGTAAGACACCAGTGAATTCCGCTAAATATCTCAGTGTTGTTATACAAGAAGCGAATGATTCAATCAATAATGATGATACTCAACTGATCCCCATAAATCCAACTATCGACCAAAAACTAAATCAAAGTGAGCTTCCACAAGATAATTTGAATCCGGTTGAATTCGACGAAGAGATTACTACACCACTAGTTGAATTAGAGTTCACTTTAAACGAATTGAAAAAATCATTTGTTCCAAGCCCATTATTATTAGAATTAGACGACATTTCAAATCATTTAACATACTTACAGAATCCTGTAAATTATGTCAGTCGATATTCAATTTTTCCAACAAACTGTGATGATGATGACAATGAAAGTGATGAGAGTGCAGGAGACTGGATCAATACATCAGAAAGTATCAATACGAAAAGGCATACCTATCCAATTTCACCTCATCTCTCTTCAATGGAAAGTTTACTCAGTGTAAATAATTTATATTGTCCTTCTGTTTATGAACAATCCTCATTACTGCATATAAAATCTCCTTATTATGATGATTTACCACAAAAATTATGTACGCTTAACTTTGAAAATTTAAAAAAACCACCAAACACTAATATCAACAAAGATGATGATGATAATAATAAAAGTGATCCTTTAAAACAAACCAATAATTCTCCATTAAAAACGCCTAATCAAACCTGTGAATTAATTCAAACAATAAATGTTAATAGTAATAATAATAGTAAGCAAAATATAACAACGAATGTGAAAGAGAACACAGTAAAGAAGAATATTTCAGGTACAGTTGAAGAAAACACTAAGAAAGAAGTCAAAAAAGACGAAAAACTGCTAACTGTGACTGCCACCACTAATACTACTAATTCTGAAATCAGTACTGCAGTCAATACCACGGAGAATTCCAGTACTACTCCGAGTAATAAATCCTCTAATCTAGTGTCGAGTTTATCACCTGAAAAAAAAGTGAATTTACCCAGTCAACATCGGCCCGCATCATCAAAATCGCTGATTCACAAAAATATCAATGAAGCTGAATTACAAAGGGAACGTATAGAGAATAGTCGTGAGCGTAAAGCTGCAAGAACTCTTGCAATTATAACAGGCTGTTTTATCCTCTGTTGGCTACCATTCTTTCTCAATGCATTGATTGAACCATTCTGTTTTCCGCATTGTAATATACACCGATTGGCTGCAAGTTTTCTTCTCTGGTTAGGTTATTTAAATTCTTTATTGAATCCTATATTGTATACTGTATTTGCACCAGATTTTAGAAATGCTTTCAGAAAGATTATTTGTGGTAAATTTTACACGAATAGAAAACGATAAATTATATTTTTTCACAGAATGCTTATATTTGTATACTGAATATTATCACTATTATTATTATTGCTACTATTATTCTCTATCATATAGCTTCCATTCATGTATATCTATAACCAACTATTGAACAGAGGTTTCTTGTTTATATGCAACATATTCGCAAATCAAAAGCGCGGGTGAATTAATACGCTCATATAACTTAACAAAAAAGTTTGAGTTTTTCTAATTTTTATTAATCTGATGACGAAAAGAAATATAAAAAGTATTGAATAAAAATTTTAAAAAAATTTGTTTTGTAGCCTGAAGTATGTTGGTAGAAGTCATATACAAAGATACTTTTGTTCGAAATGTGCGGGCAAAGTTCAACAATAGCGTCACAGGAGTGCGAACGCTCCGATGACCTTGAACGTATGCTAGTTGTAAGCGCAATATCGCTTGAAATTAAGTCACGCGTAGATATAGGCTATACCGGTCCAGAACAAACAAAAAGCCGGTCACTGTTTCTACGGTACTTAACGGTTTCAAGAGTACAAAACACAACGCTTAACAGAAAGCAAGGTACCGCTATCAGAGCGGAATAACGTTAAAGCCAAAATTACGAACTAGCCGGATCAGAAACGACCGTTCAGGTAAGCAGTCAGTAGAAGAATGAACCCAAGTAAGAGATAGACAGAGCATAGGCACAAAGATAGAATTTAAATGGCTACTTAACCAATCAATAAATAAGATAAACTCGACAGAATAATACAAAGTAAGACATGGGTCAGCAAAATAACAGTTCACAAAAATACTCTGATTGGGTCATGAGTTCAACTGTCTGACTAAACAGATCGAAGTAGAAACACACACACACAGTTCATTAAACAAGGTGGGATAGACACGTTAGGCATGGATAATTGGGTTGCAACAACTCTAGGCTGATCCGGGACAGGTTGACTTGATTCAAGGATGGGAATTGAATTGATCTTACACTAGTCGTTGGCTAACGGCATCTGTCATTATCATAGCTAAAATATCAACGCTATTCACCGACTTAGGAGCAAATTTCTCCCAGATCACGTTTTTAAGTACTGTTTGGACAATGTGCTTATTGCTCGTTAGGGTTAAGGTAAGTACTGGGGTTAGGGTTAGGATCAGGGTTAGAATTACGATTTGAATAAGGGTTGTGATTAGGGTCAGAATTAAGCTTATGGTTACGATTAGGGATAGATTTATAGTTGATGTCATTTATTTTAATTTGTTTTATTATCCACGTTTTCCAGCTAAGTAGTTGTCTATCCTCTTGCTGGAAACCATAATAATTCAACAGAGGACTTTTTTGGAAGACTGCAAGCAGGATGAGAGAGATAAACGATTCAGGAAAACTGTTTATCTGTAGTCATCTCGGTGAATACATGCACAGAAACTAGTCTAACTTAGCAACTGATACTCCGCGATATAAGTAGGACGTATTTTTAAACCGTGTCATAGAAATATAACCTGCCGAGTGCGTTTTCAAGCATTTTTTTTTATCAATATACATCATTTTTTGAACAAACATCCCTCATTTTTATGATTGGTTAGCTGAAGGTCACTCGTGCTTTCGCACTCCTGGGACGCTATTGTTGAACTTTGCTAATGTGAGTATGTCATTTGTAGACCACCTTACTCATCAACAGAAAAATTTGAAGTGATCGAAGCCACACTGATTTTGAGAGGCCTGATGAAACTATCCATTTTACTTAGACTGAAACAAATGAAGCGAGACTGGAACCTGGAACCGACTACTGGCTAGAAGCTCAGTGCTTAAGGCAATGAGTTGCATCACTAAAAAATAGAGTCATTGTTATTATTTACTTGACTGAATATAGGGTGTGTAATAACCAAAACCCAAATGTTATGATCTGGACGTAGGAAACAAATTTATGCGTGTTATAACTGAACTGAAATGAATAAATCCGTCGCTACTTTGTTATGCCTGTGCCTGTTAATTACTATAACGGTAACCAACTTGACCGGTACACTAATACGTTTGTTTGTCCGTTGTACCTTCCGATTCACTGAGCCACGGAAATATCAAAAAACGAAGTCTGACCTGTGACTGAGAGGTACTGTATTATTCTGTGCACTTTTTAGGAAACAAAACATGATATTTACACAACTGGCATTAAAAAAACCTACAACGAGATAAATCAATTACAATTACAAGAGCAGATAAAGGCAATATCACGGTTGTCATGAACTCTGCAGTTTACGAAAAGAAGGCCATTGATCATCTTAATGATGGACCTTATGAAAAATTCAACGTGAATAAATCAACGGCGACATTAAATAAGCTGAAGGCTGAAACAAGCAAAATGTTACAATCAATAAAAAAGGGAAGCTCGGTGTATCACTTTGGTTTACTCTGGTTCCAAAAAGTTGCAGCCCCTGTAGATTTTATGGGTTACCGGAAATACACAAATCAGAAGTTCCATTACGTCCAGTAGTGGATTTTACTAATTCTCCAACATAAAAACTCTCTAAATACATTTATCAAATACTTAGCCCATATGAAATGAAAGTGGAGCATGGAGTGAAGAATTCGTATGAATTTAGGAGAAAAATAAACTTGACTCATATTGAAGAAGATGAAGTAATGGCAAGTATTGATGTTTATTCATTATTCACGAATGTTCTCGTTAATGATTCTCTAAATATTATTTATAATTTACTTTGTTCTGACGACGAACTCAGTGATCGTTGTTCTTTAAATCCAGACGAAATTATGAAGGTATTAGAATTGTGTCTTCGATCTACGTTATTTGCATTTAGAAGGGTTCTTTACCGTCAAACAGGAGGCATTGCTATGGGATTACCAGTATCTCCGCTAGTCGCCAATCTGTTTATGCACTCATTAGAAACAAATGCAATTATGAGATGCCCTAGTCCCCCAAAGATGTGGTTGAGATACGTGGATGATACCTTCGTCATAATCAAACGTAGTTTGTTAAATGAACTTTTTCATTTAATAAACAATATGTCAAAAACTATCAAGTTTTCCAAAGAGGTTGAATCCAATGAGAATGAGTTGGCGTTCCTGGACTGTTTAGTAAAAAGAAAACTAGATGGCAAATTTAAAATAAACATTTTCAGAAAACCGACAAATTCGGACAGATACCTAGACTAGATTATTCAGCACACCCACTTACCACCAAAGTAACTGTGGTCAAGAATCTGATTAATAGAGCCAAACGTCTAGTTCCTGAGAAGGAAGAGAAGGAAGGAACTAAAATAGGTTCAATCCACTCTTGAATCAAATAATTATCCTAAGACCTTCATAAATAGATATTTAAAATGTGAAGATAAGGATGAATCGAAACCTGGTGCTAAGAATTGGGTTAGTACAGCGGTGATTCCTTACCGCAAAGAAACATCCGATGAAATAAAGCGAATCCTTAACGACCATAACATAAGAGTGTATTTTCGTGCATTAAACACCTTACGCTCATCACTGGTGAAGGTTAAGTATAAAATAGAAAAAGAAAACCAGCAGAATTGTGTATACCAAATCAATTGTGGGGACTGTAAAGCCATATATGTAGGAGAAAATTCCAGACAGTTAAATATAAGAGTGGGAGAGCATAACCAATGTCTAAAGGTGGTTCCAAACACCTCTGCAGATTTGAAGAAGCTAGAAAACAACTCAGTGATTACACTGCATTCGATAGAAACGGGACACAAAATCGACTTTGATAAGACTAAGGTTTTACATGAAGGTTTTGGTTCATATAAAGAAAAACTGACTGTAGAAGCCCTACATATATGGGTGAATCCCAACAGTTTGAACAGACGTGAAGGTGTGATGTTAGCTGATGAATGGCAAATCGTGACTAATAAATAAATAAAAATTGAATATGTATCAACAATCAGTCATACTTGGTCAAAATTCCCGATTGTCTACGTCTTCTTATGGAGAGGCTAACAAATGTTTTATGACTGTTCACCCACACACACATACACACACGCACCATTGTATACTGCATTTACACATATATTTTAACAAAAGTAGACTAATTCATATGAACTGTGATCAAGATTTGACCGGATAGTTGCAAAATAATTGAGCGCTGAGTGAGAAGTAGACATTTGTAAAAAATTATATTTGTAAAGTCTCAGCAAAATTGAAATGATTAATTCCAACGTTTCGTTCGGCAATCTGGTCCGAACTTCTTCAGGGAAATTAATCGAATTAAAATAAACAGGTTTATATATAAAAGGAACAACTCATGTTTTTCAATTTTGTCCAATCATGATTGGACCAGATTGCCGAACGAAACGTTGGAATTAATCATTTCAATTTCGCTGAGACTTTACAAATATAATTTTTTACAAAAGTAGACTAATTTTGAAAGTCTGAGGTCAAATTTTGATCACAGTTCATACAATTTTTGGTCATTATACATGTTGATACCTGTTTCATGATTCATATGACTGGACAAAGAATTTAAAAACAAGGATGTCCTTTTACGTGTAAACCTCTGTTATGTTAATTTCGATTAATTTCCCTGAAGAGGTTCGGACCAAATTGCCGGACGAAACGTAGGAATTAATCATTTCAATTTCGCTGAGATTTTACAGAGATAATTTCATAAATTTGCTTTACCTTAATAAAGTAGGCTCACAACCATGAGAATGGACTGTTGTCATAGCCTGGATATTTCTATTCTGATCGATTGGTAATCTGACAAAGACTAAGTTGATACAAAAGACAATAAAAATGATTGGCTGGTAATTTTCTCAAGGTTAAACTTTGTTACTGTTTTCCTCTTGACTCTGATTGGGAAGACAAGTGGTTCAGCGAAGAGTCTCTTTTCAGCGGCGAATTCATTTTCATAGCTGTACAGTCACAAATATATATGGTTATTTTGTATGTGTGTGTGTACATTAAATTTGTCAAACGAAAATACAGTTAGTAAGTTCAGATGAATTGCATGTTGATATAAGAGGGTAGTAACAAAATTGATGAGTTGTCACAAACGATTGTTAGTGAAGAGTTACGTGATAACATGAATAGTTTGATGAAAGCGTTGTACTCAGGGTGTACATGGAAACAAAATATACGG